ACAAGGTGGACGGTGCTGTCAGTAACCAAGACTGAAGATGCCAGAGGACCAGCACAGGAGGGGCAAGAAGCTCTCTTTTGACTATCCTGCGTTTTAATGTTGTTGCCTCCAGGAGGCAAATGGACGGGCACCGCTGAAAAGCTTGGTTCACCACCACTGCCACCACCTGGAGCAGAACTGTCCCAGTGGGGCTGCTCTGCAAAGGGATCAAGCAAAGCCAAGCAGTGCTTGTCATTACTGGTTAAGTGAGGCTCGCGGGCTAATTTCTTTATCTTTACTCATTTCTTCACGTCAAATCTCTCTGTGATTCCACTCATTTAAAAAACACTGATGTGATCAGAGGTTTTGTAGCCAGGTTAGGCTCTCCGTACAAACTGTCCTCAAAGTGCATGTGAATAAACACTTACGAGAACCAAAACTGTGGTCTGTCATGCTTTCATCTCGGTTCCCCACGGCACGAGACAGCAGTCATGGGATGAGATGACAGAATCGAATGTGGCATATAATTTGCACTCCCTAAGTAGTATTAAAAATATTTCACTGAAAAAAAAACCTATTTCTTTATCATTGCATTAACAAACTCCTGATGGCACAAGAGATACTGAATTTTACTTCATTAACAGAAAGAAAGGAAATGGACAGACCGATTCCCTCTCCCTTGTCCTTCCTCCCCTTTCAGTGACCACGTAGCTGTTACCAGCGGCAACGGCACAGGGTTTTCTCAGCAACAGTCAGCACCAGTGAGTATACTGTTGCTCCTAATTATTTTAGAAACTGAAATTATCCCCAAACCTTAAATCCCTTAATTTGAATATGCTATTTTCTCTTCTTTTCGCAACCCGTTGAGTCACACGGTACCTACACGGGAGTATTTATCCAAGTGTAAGCTTTGTTAAAGAGAAAACCGTACGTCCAAGATGGCATCACTTGTGCTAAAGCCAGTGAAGTCAGACCTAGATTTAACACCTGACCCCTCTGTACTTTCAGCCTTCCCCAGGAAGGAGGTGAGGTCCTCTTAACAGGCCAGTGTGGAATGTTCTGGTCAGCACCAAGGATGTAATCTGTAACGTGGACCCGCTCCACTCCGTCCGAAGGAAGAAGAGGTGATCTGCTTGGTGACAGAGTCTCATCCTTCCCCCAAACGGTGACCTGGCCTGAAACAATCCTTTCTTCTCTTTTGCTAATAGCTTCCTCGCCTCCCCCCACCTCCTTCTGCCTATAAAAACCCTCCATTTCATACAAGCCCTTGTAACACCCCTCTATTTACTGGATTGGATGCCGCCTGATTCATGAATCCTCCAATACAGCCAGTTAGATCTTCAGATTCACTCAGTTACATTCTGTTCTTAACAGCTTGGCCAGCCAAACTGTCTGTAAGATCACCCCATGTAATTGATCGAAAACACTGGACTAAGCACTGTTTCCTGCAATTGGTTCGTGATTTACTCTGTGTGGCAAACGATTTTATTCATTGTTTCTATTTCATAAAAGTATCTTTATTAATTTAAAAGCACAGATAACTTATTTTCTACTTTTTATCTACAAACAGCCTGATATGCCCCAGGAGAGCAAGAATTCAGAACAAAACAAAAATCCTAAAACTTTAAGTACCAATCACAAGCTTCCTCATGCTTAACTGCAAAGTGCCCCATTTTTGAAAAGTTTATTTTGTACATTTCTGCTGAGATTCTCTCTCACACCTGCTTGGCCCCAGCCCTTTTTACAATACCTGACCCTCCTATCCCGCCCGTCACTGAAAGCGACTAACCACCACTCCTTGCTCTGCCTACAGGAGCTGATTTCCTTTCCTCTAGTTAAGGCCGTTACTTGCATCGCTGCCTGGAGGCCTTTATTCTTGCTTCTTCCTGTTTCTTACAACTCACGAATTTAAAAAAAGAAGATACTGATTTCATGATGATATTGCTTCCGGACAAAATGAATCATTTACCTTCCTAGGACATTTTAGAACATGGTTAGATTTGTAACAAAATACATTACACATCTGAATTGTTGAAAGTTTAGTTGGAGGAAAAAATAATCAGAGATGGTGAAATAAAACAAAACTAAAGTAAGAAATAATCCAACAACTGATCTTAGAACTTTCAAGAATCCACTAGACTTTCCATAGCAATGAAATACTATTCAACCAAGGAAACACCAAATGGAAACATTTCTAAATTAAAAGAGATGCACATACACATATGAAGAAAGTGATCACCAAGTGGTATCAAAATAGGAGTTCTTTGAAAATCGATGGAGTAATGCATGCTTTGTTAGAACTTCTCTAAAGCTGGTATTTAAAAAGCTTCCTGAATAATCTATGAGGTACACAAATATATAAAAGGGACGAAACTGTTAAAGAAAGGTGCCACGTATAGAATACATGAAGAATTGCCTAGAAAACAAATTAGAAAAAACAGAAAACAAATTAGAAAAATAAATACAGAGTGTGCTAGCAGGACCATAAGTTAACCAAAATTCATGTGTGTGTGTGTGTTTGTGTGTGTGTGTGTATGTAAACACAAGCTTTGCATTAATTATCTGATGATTTAAGGAAAAGAGACAGACAATTTAATCTTTGATATTCATATATGAATAAAATGTACTTTTCATTATTTTAAGAGCCTTTCAGAATTTACTTCCTCAATAATAAATGTTAAACCATAGAAATTATGACAGTGGCTAAATCGAAGATCATCTTAAAGATTTAGATTCTGGGTTCCCTATCCTGTGATTTGTACTCAGTAGTTCTGGGGTTGGCCACAGGAATCTGTATTTCTACTGAAAACCCTATGTGTATTCCATTGTCCATATAATCCATACCATGTAATTTTATTTATACCATAGTTTATCAATTCATCTACTGAAGGACATCTGACTTGCTTCTAGGTTTGCTGATTACGAAAAAGTTTCTGCAAACACTGATGTGCAGACTTCTGTAGTTTTAAAATCAGCTGGTTAAATACCAAGGAACATGATTGCTGGGTTGTGTGAAGCTACGTTTAGCTTCATATGAAGCTGCTAAATTGTCTTCCAAAGTGGTTGTAGCAACCCTGCACCCTCCCCAGCTATGAATGAGTTTCTATTGCTCCACATCCTTAACAGCAATTCCTACTGTCAGCTTGCTTTGTTTTTTAATCCCTTTTTAGCCATTCTACTAAGTATGTTGTGATACATCACTATTGGTTTAATTAACACTTTCCTAGTGACAAATGATGTTGAGCATCTTTCTGTGTATTTGACATCTGTGTATCTTGTCTGGAGAAGTGTCTTTTCAGATCTTTCACCTGAATTCATTATTTTATTTTTTTGTTTTGTTTTCCTTTTGTTAACTTGTAAGAGTTCTTTGTCTGTTTTGGACTCAAGCCTTTTGTCAGGTATGTATTCTGTAACTATGTTCTCCCAGTTGGTGGCTTATTTTTTGATTTCAGAAAAATACCTTTAGCAGAACAGAATTTCACATTTTAATAAGATCTCATTTATTGCTTTTCTTCCCTATAAAATAGCTTTATTCTTCACTGAAGGATAGAATGATTATGGAATAAATGATACTTTCAATTGATACAGTAACAGTCCTGGATTACATATATCTTTTAAGATCCCATCCAGCCCTGAAATTACCATTAAATATATACATATCTAAACACTGATTATTTCCATAATGTTTTCTGCATTGTGTATACACAAATTTGTATACTTTATATTCTCCTGGTTTCCGCTGAATCTGTTTTATCTTAAAATATCCAAGTGTTTTTCTATCTCCTTTGTAGTTTTCACCCTTTAACTTGAAAATATTTCTGTATCTACTACGTACCTTTTTGTCCTGATAGCCTAGCCCTTTGTCCGAGTCCACAGACCAGTGGTTATAACAGCAATCTTGGGAAACTAAACTCAGCAAATACTTTTCTTCTATTGAATAGGTGGTTCTTAATACTTTTGTATTAACTAAAATTCTTCTAGCCGTGCATACAGATTGGTGTTCAGCAGCATGCTGACACAGCTAAGCTGATGTGGCCCCAACTCTAAATGTACTCCCCAAGCAGTGCTCAGGGATCCTGGAATTCAGACAGAAGGCAAGGATCTCAGATGTTTGCTGGCAAAAGTATTTTAACCACAGGGCCCCATTCTTGATTCAGGCAGGCAAGACTGTCCTCATGGCCTCCTTGTAATGCTGAAAAGATGACTTTGGCAATTCCTTGTATGGCTCCACTGGTCCCTAGGCTCTAGATTTGAATCCTGAGATATCTGCAAGAGGTCGGGGCGCAGCCACCAGCAACCGACTCGGGATGAGCTGTTAGAGCCAGCCCTGAGTAAAGCTGTGAAATTTTCAACTTTCATCTCCATTCCTCCCCATCCTCACATTCTTCACTTTCTCTTCAAATATTCAGTTAAAATATGAGCTCTTACCTCTTCCTAACCAAAGTTCATTTTAAGAGACTTGATGCACTCTGAATTATAAACAATAACTAACAGGTGAGAATACTGTGTCCTTTTTAGGATGATTTAGGTTTTAATAAAGATTCACACTATAAACCAAAAAGCGAAGCTTCTGCTATAGTTTCACGGCGGTTAGAGGTCTTTTCGACGTCTTGAAAATTCCTCCCACACAAAGTTGCCCGTCCTGTCTTAAGCCAGTTGTGTTTAAGAGTAAACTTTCACAGCAGTAAATTGTTAAGTAAGAAATGTTTTCTCTTCTTGTATATCCTCATAAAATAATATCCAACAGAGGAAAGAAGTCACAATATAACTATCACTATGGGTCTGAAAATGCTTTACTTACCTATACAATTACAAGTATTTTATAGTAAAAAATCAACAATACGTGCATATTCAAATCAATTTATGTAAACTATTTTTCACTATACATTTTTTTCTGATTTTTAGGAGCTTGTTTATTAATAAGGAGCCTTAGAAAATCAGGTTTTTATCATTGGAAGTAGTACTTTAAAATCTTTAGCATTTCTAAAATGTATTCACAAAGTGCCCAAAGAAAGATGGGGGAGGGTATAGCTCAGTGGTAGAGTAAGTGTCTCCCATGCACAAGGTCCTGGGTTCAATCCCCAGTACCTTAAATAAACAAACAAACAAACCTAATGATCTCCTCTCCCAAAAAAACAAAAACAAAAATTTTTTTTTAAAAAGTCCCCAAAGAAAGATAATTTTAACTCAGAACAAACTTAGACTGATTGTTTTTCTATTTTAATTCAAATAATTATTTATAATCCATGTATTACACTGTTTCTTTCTAAACATCAGCATTTGCATCACTCATAAAGCTTTTAGCTGTATATGTGTTCTACCTTACATTTGCTCACTCTATATTTTGTTACCTTTCATTAAAATGTCTGTATTTCAAATATTTTGTATCACTGCCATGTATTTAAAATGATCCCACTTGCCATAAGTAGAGCAATTATAAATGTAAATATGATTAAAACCAAGCTTTTATGTTAAAGAATATATAAGTAATGCTAAATCTAGTCAATTTGCAAAACTGCACAACCAAAGTTACGTTACTCAATGAGAAAAACGATAACGTTTTTGATTAGTCAGAGACAAAGGCACAACTGGCTTAGTATTAGGTAAAGAAGAGATTCCTGAATAAAATAATTTTGTTTTTTAAAGTTTATAAATTAACTAAAGAATCAAAACTTTGCATGTGGGATCAGAAAGAAAAATAAACAACTTATTTCTCTAAAATAGTTGGACACCAAGGGTTAATTCCTGAAAAGATACGTGACCTTTGTTAGATTTTTGTTTCAAATTGTCCTCTGGAGAAATCCACAGAATGAATGAATCTAGTTCTATTAGTACTTTGCCCGCGCATGATAAGAAAAGGATTCATTATCCACTCACCAGAGCCTTCTGACTGAGTAGAGTTCGAGATTTGCAGATACGAATCACTATATATAAAACAGATAAGCAACAAATTCTTTCTGTATAGCACAAGGAACTACACTCAGTATCTTGTAGTAACTTCTAATGAAAAAGAATATGAAAACAAATACATGTATATGTAGAACTGAAACATTACGCTGTACATCAGAAATTGACACAACATTGTAAACTGAAGATACTTCAAAAAAAGAACTTTTTTCAAATATTTCAAGTGCCTTTTTATAGCAATTCAAATGGTTTAGAGTGCAACTCCAAACAAGTTCATGAGCAGTTTAGACAACAGGACATCAGTTTGATCAGGGATGTATGCCTACTTCTAACTATGTGATGCTTCTGTTCTTTTTGACTCCATACTTAAGCACATGTAACTTGTAAGGAAGCTAAGGTGTCATTAGGAAGCTAACAATATTCTAGTTCTCATGATTCCTGGCCCATGGTAAGCTCGAATTTCACACCCTCTTGAAACCCGCCATGTGACATGCTTTCGTGAATGGAATGTCATGGTCACTTTTTGGTGGAAGATTTAAAAGCCAGCGCCCACTTCCTTATATTTCCTTGCCCCTGCCACTGGCAACTGGCAATGCTTCAATGGTCACAGTCTGTCCCATCGGGTTCCAAAATGAAGGCCACCACTGTGGAACCAGGTTCTAGCCACACCGAGAAGGACACAGGCTCATGTTCTGCACGTCAAAAATGGGGAACTGTTTATTGCCACAGCTTCATCTAACTCACGCTGACTAATACTCACCCATTCGGAGTCTTCAGATGAGCAGTTATATGCACAAAATTAATTTTCAAATTCTTGCGTATAAATCTTACTGATTAAATATCTCTTCCAGAGACAGTTAAGTTCTAATTACCCAATGAAACACTGTTGTGACTTGGTCAGAGTCAACCTGATTCAGTCTGAAATAGCAGTTTTTTGGAAACATTCCCTATCTCTTCACAAATAGTCAAGAATTTGGAGGTCTATCCATAAGACAAATGAAAATTTCAACAGATGTTAAAATGCTTTTCCAAAATAACTGTGTACAACTAACGGGACAAAAACATTCCTTATGTGTTCCACACAGAATATAATTTGCTTCTGTTGGAACACCTTGAAAGCCTGAAACAGGTTTTCTTAGCCTAAGACCAAATATAACTTTAGTGTCAGTGCTTTACTCAATATGTCATGTTGAGTCTGTGTTACTACTTGGGGTGGAGTTGTCAAATTATTTAGAAATCTCTAATTATAGCTATTTTCAATGGTTAAATGAAAAAAAAGTCTTCACGGAATTCTTGGTCCACTCATACTTGAAAGCCAGATGTTAAGGAATTGTATGCTGCCACACTTGAGGTGTAATCGTTTCTTTGGTTTCTGCCACGTCTAGAATATTAAAATAAACTTTACTTTTTGATGAAAGCACTTTATCGATTCTTGTATTCATTCTATGCCCAAACAGGATTTTCATCATTTTTAAATGGCAAAATTACTAAAGAACCTGCCAAAACTTCAGCGTCTCTAGCCCTTGTGTTTAAATGGGACACTGAATGCGAGTACTCCAAAGCTTTTGCATTTGTCCCCATCACAAGAGACATTAATTATTGGGATGCACCTGAATATCCTTACACTTAACTTCAACTATTTTGATAGATCCCCTTGGTATTCCTTGGGTACTTCAAAATTATGCTTGAGGTTGATTAGCTTAATGTGTGTCTTTAAATATATGATGAGAATGGAATAGAATAAATTACGTTGCTAGTTCATAAAAACAAGAAACATCAAATATACCTATATTTCATTTTTTAAAAATGCACTGAGGTATAGTAGATATATAACACTGCATAGTTTTAGGCATACTACATAATGAGTCAATGTTTGTATATATTGTGAAATGAACACAAGTAGTCTAGTTAACATCTGTCACCAGTCATGAAGTTTTTTTCCTTGTGGTGAGGACTTTTAAGGTTTACTTTCTTAGTAACTCTAGTCACCGTGCTTGTACATTATATCCCTGTGACTTATTTATTTTCTAACTGATGGCTGGACATTTTGACTCCCTTCACCTATTTTGTCCACCTCCTACCCTCTACCTCTGGTAACCACCATCCAGTTATCTGTATCTCTGGCTTGATTTTGTTTGCTTTCAAAATTCTAAATACAAATGAGAACATATAGTATTTTAATTTGTCTGACTTATTTCACTTAGCACAATACTCTCAAGCTCCAACCATGTTGTCACAAATGGCAAGATTTCATTCTTTATGGCTGAATAGTATTCCACTGGATATACAGCCTATGTCTTCTTTATCCATTGATCTAAGAATGGACACTTAGGTTGCTTCTATGTCTTGGATATTGTAAATAATACTGGAACAAACATGGGGGCACATATATCTTTTCAAGTTCGAGTTTTTGTTTTCTTCAGATAAATACCCAGAGGTGGAGTTGCTGGATCACATGGTAGTTTTATCCTTAATTTTTTCAGGATCTTCTGTACTGTTTTCCGTAGTAACTGTACCAATGTACACTCCCAACAACAGTGTATGAGTTCCCGTTATAGACTGGGATTTCAAAATTGTAGAGTAGATAAACAAGATTACACTGTGTAGCACAGGG